TTTTTCAACCAATGTTCTATTGAAACGTTCAGCAACTCCATTTTGTAGAGGGGAATATGCAACCGTTTGTTCAACTTGAGTTCCCTTTTGTTTGTAGCAAGCCTTCTGTTCTTTGGAGCAGTATTCTTGTCTTTGATCGACGGTTCATTTTAATATTAAAGTGCCGAGTTTAGCAGTTACAATAACTTCATACTCCATCATTGCTTTGAAAACATCACTTATTTTTTTACCTTCCTTTTATTAGCTCGAGATGTAACTATGTAATATTGATGCACCTAAAAGATGCAGCGATTTCTATTCTCAAGTTACATACCTGATGACAGTACGAATGGCAATTATAATAGGGAGGTTTTAGTTTTTTAAACTATAATTTTTGATAGTATACACAAACGCAAAATGTGTGTAATCATCGATGAACGATACAAAATATTTTGATCCATTCCACGCAACTGGATCAATTGACCCACAGACATCCGAGTGAATCCTTTCAAGGGGTCTGTTACTTCGTCCGCGATGTCCATTAAATAGATCACGACTATGTTTTGCTTCTAAGCACACATCACAAAATTTGAATTTCTCCGCCTTTAATTTCAAGTCACATACCATTTCTTTATTTATCGCTTCATCAAAAGCTTGCTATCCAATGTGTCCAAAACGTTTGTGCTACAACTCGACTTTATCTTCGTTACATATATACACAGAGGCACGTTCGATGCCTACTTCAATTTCATATAGTCCATCTCGTAAGTACGCAGACGCCAGCAATTCTTCATTCTTTATAATATTTGTCTTATTTTTGCAGAATATTACATCAACACCAGCATTCGTCAGCTTTCGGACTGATAACAAATTGTCACGCAATTCTGGTACATACAAACATCATTCATAACAAGCTGGACTCCTTTGTTACTCATTCCACTTATTTATTTTCCGTGAATACTTAGCGCTCAAGCTCTGATTACCTTTTGCAACATTTATGAAAACTGGATTATGTATTTTAAAAATATCTCGAAAATACCGTTTCTCTTTGGCCAAATGGTCACTCTCGCACCTGAATCTAGTTTAAATTTCTCGCATATCATTTCCGCCACCAGCACCAAAACAAACTCTTTCAATTCTAGTTTCTTAGCGGCACTACGAGCTTCACCTTGCTTACAATCTTTAGCTCGATGACAAAATTTACCACATTGAAAACACTTTCCTTGAAACTTCGAACATTTTTTTTAAATTCTTCTTGCCAGAAAATGCTGTTTTCTCAATGTCATCTCTTTGACGATTCGATATTGTAATTTCCTCAGCCAATAGCCTTTCTTTGACGAAATTGAGAGTCAACTTCTCTTCACTTAAATTTTGTAATGCAGTTACCAGTGGATCAAACTTTTCAGGTAATGCCACATATTAAAGCCCCCCCTGTCTTCAGCTGCCTTACTAAATTTTCAAACAAAATCAGATGCATCGCTACAGACTCATCTTCTTTCATTCGAAGCGTTGCTAGCTGCTTTCGCACTAAAAGCTGGCGTAAAGTCGATTTCTTCGCAAATACCATTTCCAAATTTTCCCACATTTCTCTGGCCGTTTTCTTGTCCCGAATATATCCTAGGCAATCGTTATGTTCAAATCCCTCTAAGCGACCCTTAGCTTTCTTGTGCTTTTTTCAAAAACTCTGTCCTCTCTGCTGCATCATTTGGAGGATGGCCCGTTAAAGCCTCCGCCAAGTTGAGCGCTTCAAAATGCATTTCCACTCTGAACTGCCAATTATCGAAGCCGATGCCCGCGAACTGCGGAATACCAATATCTTTTACGTCGCCCATAACCTATTAAAGATCTAGGTATTTGTTATAAATGTAGATAAAATTTGAAACTACAACCAACTATTTTTTTAACACTGCGAGAATGTATAATATGACTTTGATGGTACTTTCCGAATCTCCTTATATTTTAGGCGTTTAAAGTTTACAACATACAACAATACGACACCGTTGTGAATACCCCAAATATATTTTTTCTGTACTCAAAGTTCAAATCAAAGATTACTATAAATTCTACAAAAATCAACCAAAATTTGGTTAATATTACCAAATTCAAACTTGAAAAGGAATCAATGTGATTTTTGGTAAATATTAACAATGCCTTGGTTGTTGTTTTCAACAATGATTTGGTAATATTAACGACACTTTTGTTTACATTAACCAAACTTTTGGTTGTCGATTTTTTCGTTTGAATACGTTTATGTTCTGCACAAGACAAAAATTTGTATAATCAGTTTAACAAGTTGCCTCTGACGGGATTAGCAAATATCAGGAAGTATCTCTACCCACTCAGCTACAGCCGCTTTATAAATCTCCCTTCAAGTGTTCAACTTGAATAAATTTTCTTCGTCGTTTGATTTGGTTCTGCACTTCACAGAGGCTTCTTCGTAATTAATAAAAACCAAAACAAAAAAAAAAAATATGTATCGCGCTGACGGCATTCACACTTCTGGGAGGAGATTCTGTACCCAGTTAGCGACAGTTTTCGAATCGCTATCGCACGTTTTGACGCAAAAACATTTATATCATGCGTCAAAAAGTGCGATTGCAATCCGAAAATTGTCGCTAACTGGTTACAGATTCTCGCTCCTGGAAGCCAATAATCAAAAAATACATTTATTTTACAAATGTTTATGTTAACTATGAACTAATTATATGAAAAATTTGTACCATGAATCTTTGACTATTTTCTCCTTTCGAGTTTTAAACACGCAAAACTTTAATCTCTATAGTTGGAGTAACATTGCACCACTAGATGCATTTTGAAGTTTTCTGGCAGCATTTGCGAAGAAAAGCCTTGAGTGTTTTAAACTTTTAAACGTTTAAAATTTTCTGTATTATCAGGAATAAGGGCTTTTTTTTGCCCTTTACAATTAAAGATAGGAAAGGCAAAAAAAGCCAACATCAAATAAGTATATATGGAATCATGGAAAGCTAAACCGTGGACATTCTTAATGAAATATACTCTATCTCTTTAGCAGAAAAACCGGCAGTTTCCATAAAATTCGTTTCCTTATTACATTAAACGAGAAATTCTTTTATATAAATATATCCATGGGGTTCTCGGAAACACCTCTAACGATTTTGATGAAATTTTGTATACGCATAATGTTTTGTATTTTAAGAATATCTGAATAGTTATTAGTTGTGTTTTTTTTACAAATTATCCAGTAACTTGCCAGTAACTCTCCAGTAACTTTATTTCTATGAATTAAGAATTCATAGAAAAAAATTTGCAAAAAAGTACGCGAACGCTATTCCAGTAATAGGTTTGTTCGTCGAGCAAAAAATTTGTACGAATTTGTAAGAATTATCACGATTTTTGCCCAAATCGCGTTCGTGCAGACCAAAAATTTATCCAACAATCAAAAATTGTGAGAGCAAAGTGACAGTTCTCTTGGAGAGAAGTTGCAAATTCATGCTGGGAAAATTTTTTCCACGAAAAACATGTGGTTGTGGCGCATGGTTGCATTTTTGTCTACAATAATTTGAATAAATTAGTTCGTTAAATTTAAAAATTTATAAACACGAGCGATTTTTTTATGAAAAAAGGAAGTAAATAATTGTTGGTATAATTAATTTAGATAATTCCAATGATTTGAACTTAATTCGGCTAAAAAAAATGGTATTCGCAATCGGAATGCAATTGCAACCAGAGTCGATTTAAGAAACCCGACAACTTTAAAAATTATACACCGAGCAAAGCTCAGTCCATGTAAAATATAATAAGCCAAGTAGAGGTTCAATTAACCCACTTTTTATATTAGGATAGTCATATTAAGAAGTAAAGCACTCACACAATTTAATATTGACAAAATTTTTTTAAAAGCAGAATTATGAATCGCAAATCATTTGGCAGGACTTTCAACGCAACCTATAACTTAATTTCCAAAAAAGGTAATACAACTGCATCTAAGGATTTAATTTGTTTGTTGTTTTTTTTGTTGATTCAAGGTTTTTACAACTGTCTTATCAACACTTTTGTTAGTTTTATGAAAAAAAATTTTTTTGTGTGAAGGCTAAGTTTGTCGTGAAACCTCCCAAATTTTATTTTTAATTTGATTCGTCGGCCAAATAAGAAATAAAATTTTATTTGTGAATTGATTTGCCGGAAAAATTTAAAATAAAATCTATTTGTAATTTCATTCACCAACCAAATAAAAAGATAAATTTTATTTGTGATTTCCTTACAAAAAAAAATATATTTTTAGTTGGAAAATCACGAATCAAATTTATTTGCTCCACAAGTCATCTAACCCGTTTACTCGCACGCCTTAACCGTAAAGTCATTATTTAAAAGTAATTAAAGATTGGCGTGAAGATTTTTACACAGTATTCCTTATGCACATATGTATATATTACTTGCTTCATGTATATGTATAACCATTTTAGAATGAACCACTTGGCTGGGTTTGTACAGCACTTGGCTGGGTATTGTAACATCAGCGGCGCCGAACATTAGATACTCGGCGCGCCGCGGCGCAAGTAGCAAATATGGTTTTTTCACCTTTTCGAAAACTACCGCTGCATGGTAAGCAGGGGTGCAACCCTATTTCAAATATCTTCGATAAACTTCTGTACTTATATGTGGTCGGTATCACGCCCATTTTCCAAAATTCCATAGTAATGTTAGTATCAATTTTGTGTAAATCGGCGTCCGTAAATTTCGAAAGTATCAAGCATTTCTGAAATTTACCGTTATGTAAAAAATGGGCGTAATTTTTGTCCGAACTCAATAATTTTCAGCGTTGTGCTTTTATGTGGCAAGTACAATAATGATACCGAGTTTGGTACATATTGGTAGAACGGTTACCGAGATACATATATGTGATCATAAGTGGGCGGTGCCACGCCCATTTTCCAAAATTTGATCATAAACCATTGCGGAATTATATATTAAAATATAATTATAAATACAATATTATAATTAATTTAGTTATTATTATTAATAATTATACAATTATGTGTAATTGCATCATGTTAATAATGGACTTGATAAATTAGATTGTATTACGGTGGATGGACGTTAGTTATGCCACTGTTGCTGTGAGCTATCCTAGCCAAGAGTGTCAAACGAAATTTTCTGTAATTTTTGAATATATGACATCATATTTTTTGAAACACAATCTTTTTCCACGCTTATCTATTTTTCTCTTAAATACACGATTATTTCATAAATAATTTAAATACTTCGGAAAATGGCAAATAATACAGACGCTTCACAAGATTTGGACAAGTTTCAAACGGAGGATGATGCCAGTAGTCCAGCAAAATTCCCAAATTTAAATACAACATTATATGACAAATCCCAATCACTGGTAGATATTGCGAATAATACCTTTAAAGAGTTATGTCGTACTCTGGAGAATGAGCAATCTAAGCTTATGGAATTAGAGGAACGTCGCAAGAAGCTACAGGAAGAAATGCAACGCCTTAAACAGGAAATCGAAGAAGAAAAGCATACTTATCGACTAAATCTTGTAGAATCCCTAACAGAGAATGCAGAAGCTATGTGCGCGAAAGAAATGGCGAGTCTTGAAAGTAGTGGTGTGGACATTGACGAAGGTTTGTAAAAATAAAACAAGTATTTTGTACTATGACTTTCGTTTGTTTATTTTATATATATATACAGGTGCCGAATTCCAGAATAAACTATACACATGTTATGAAACCGATGAAACAGCGGCCGATGAAGATGATACCAAGCATCCGAATGACATTGCACGCAGCATTCAAATAAAACTTCAGGGCGTAGTAGCAGAATGCGTAATTGAGCAGTGTCATTACGATGATCCAGCTAATGAGGTACATACATATGCTACCTAAACAGAATATGTATTCAGATTTTTTCTACCTAAAATACTCTTATTTTTCCAGCAAGCAAAATCCAAGCACACTGTACCGTGAAATCCAATTTTTTACTATTGCGTATGCACATCCAGTTGTAATTGTATTTTTTTTTATCTTTTAAAATTTTGTTCAAGAAATGTGCATTTTATTTCTTAAATGTTTACAATAAACGAAAATTCATTTATTTTGTACAAAAATATTTTGCTTTAGAAGTTTATCTAGAGCTTTGTGCAGCTTGGCGAAGTCTTTATTATCAAGAGAGTCAGGGTAATGATGCAGTTGCAATGCGAATGTTTCCAAAGTAGCTCGTGTCAACTGAAAACATAGTATACGTATATGAATTAAGTTATTAATAACACCTTGTAACTGTCACCTTAATGATTTCTATATCCATTCTGTGAGCATTGATGGCCTCCATTAAAACCGACGTGAACTTCTCCATAAATGTTATTAAGTGTGGACCGATTATTTCCAATTTGATTGGCAGAATACATACCAAATAACATTTGTGTAGTTCCTAAAATGTAATACGACTAGAAAAAAAAATTTCGTATTCGCTAAGTGTTTACAAACCAATAAAAATTTCTGCGAAATCTCTTTATCCTGCATCAATTTATATGAATTTACATTAAACATATTTAAAATGTCTTTTGCCCAACGAAAAATTGTATACGAGTTGTTTGTAGCGCAAATAGCTCGACACTGTTCTAAGGTATTTGGGTCGTTAAGATCTGCTTCGCAATGATATAAGATATCATTTTGATTTATCACGAAATATGCTCCAAATTTAATGACGAATTGCAAATGGCAAAGCGAGACTAGATTATTAGAAGCCATTGTTATATTTTTAAGAGCTTTTTCCATAAGGTCATCTAGTTGACTCCACTGCGGAAAACAGCTATATTAGATTAAAATTGCTGAGTATTTATTTTAAAGAAATATTTTACGTTAAAGCTATCTAAATCCTCAAAGAATCTTAAGCATGTGTACAAGCAATTCCAGGTATCAGTAGCCGCTTCAACAGAGTCCAAAAAATCCACATCTTTATATGCTGAATCATAAATTACGCTGTGTATGTTTTGTTTTTGTAGATGCGAAAAATCCTTCAAGTTTAATTATGAATTAAATACAGGTACGGAGCTCATTATTTTTTTTAACTTACACCGCTATTCAAAATTAACTGAAATATCAATACTCCAATTTTTTTACAAGTAGGATCATGGCTTTCACGCACAGTTAGACCTACTGATAAGCAGAAATGAACCCACTGCTTTGGAAGCATTTGCCCACTGTATTGTAACTAGGAAAAGTAAAGTTTTAAATCATATTAAACGTAATACCTAGGACTTTTTTTTCTAAAAAAAATTACATTTATGTACTAGAATAATGTCAAGCATACCTGTAAAAAACGGAGAAATCCATGAATTGACCCCAATTGCCTTTTCCATACATCTTTCCTTAGTTTTTTCTGATAAAATTCAAAGATGATTCGTTCCACAACCATTCTCTGTAAAGGAATATGCTCCCGTAGAACTCGATTCCCGTTTCTTTCTATGCTCTCATGCGATAGTCCGTAAATTGTATTTTGAGCAGTTACCTCGCACAAGAGGACTAATAAGTTGGCAAGTGTCTTAATTTGTGAATAAATTAGTTTTTATAAGAACAATATAACAAATTTCACTTGCCTCGCACGCTTCCGGCTCATCGCTTCCGAAGATCCACTCCTGTTTCTGTTGCAGCAAATCATACAGTATGGGTAGTTGCAATTCCAAGACATTTCTGTATTCATTGAAGTGATCGCTTTGTAAGGGTACGTCATCCAAATCTTGTTTTAACACAGGCACAAAACAGGAATCACTTAAATGCTTGAGATCTTGCCAACTAACGCCTGAGCAAGTCATCCTAATTTTAAGAACCTGATTTAAAACAATTTGTTTCCTATATTTAAAAACAGAAGCCTATCATATTAATCAACGCGATTGTTTCTGGGTCCGGCCGCCGAATGGTGTTTGTAAACAAAAGATTCTTTTTAAAGCAGGAACCACAGTGGAGGTTGAGCCTGAATAAAAGTCTGCGCAAACTGGTGCGGTATACTACGCAGACACGCTTAAAGCCTTAAGACCGGTCCACATAGAACTTTCGCGTTGGCTTTCGCGCTGGCGTTGGTTTGACAGAACGCACGTTAAAAGTATGCTTGCTACAATGAACGCTTGGCAGCGAATGCTTTGAC